AAGTACCGACTGTAGTCACTGTACTACAATTTTTCTTCTCTTCTTTTTAAAAAATCTTTTTGAAAGTGGTAATTAATACATAAAAATAATACATATCCGATTTATTTTTTAAGAAAATAATTTTAAAATTATATTATTTTAATAAATTTTCATGAAAAAGAAAAAGATAATTTATTTTTAAAATATAAATTGGAGTACCTTTTAAAATAAATTTTCTTTTAATCTTAAAAAAAAAAAAAAGGACAGATAAGACATTGCATTTTTAGTACCTGTTCCAGAGAAAGGGAATCTCACAACTCTGATCCTCGAACTCTCAACCTCACCAGGGGATGGTTTCCACTAAATCAAGTGGTAAGCCACTTGATCCGGAGCGTAGAAATCTTTCTTCGTCTTGATTAATTAAAAGTTTGGAGAAACTGTTGAATATCCAGTGGCAAGCAACTGATACAATGTCCAAACAACTCCGGCCATCCCGTTCTCCATTCTTCCAAGCCGCTGGTCCCCGCAATAAGGGACAGGAATCGTAGGGATTTTTTGCGTTGGCCGACTGAGGGAGAAGAGATAGCCGATAACAGTCCTGCTTTCCTTCTTTCTGCTTGAATTTCCTAGGTGTGTTTTATTATTATTATTATTAACCCTCTGTGATTGAGATTTGAAAGAAATACAATTTTAACTGTTTGACACATATTTTTGCTGCCTTAGGTTGTATTTGATCTATTGCATTGCATATAAAACTCTCAAATTCCTCTCAAATTCGGACATTGCCTGCTCTTCCTTTATTATTCCAGTTTGTTTTGAGTAGAAAAGTGGAATTTATCAAAGTAGGGATCAACCCAACATTGGTTTTCCCTGAATTTGATCTCTTACGTTGCCATGGTGAATTGTGTCTCGATCTGATTTAGGACTTTGCTGGGTTCTTGTTTTTTGCCCTTTCATCATGTAAAGCCTACTTTTTTCATTTTTCTTTTTTCTTTTTTTCTCTTTGGTTTCTGTAATAGACTCTGATTGTTACTAATTTTTTTTCCTCTTTGCTGCCCGTGATTGCTTAGTACGTGAATATGTGTTGACATTATTCCTTGCTTGTATGATGTTTGTTACATTTGCTATGAAATTTGTCAAATTTTGCAATCTTCTTATTAGTTCTTTTTATTTTCTGGGTTGACTGCTTTTGATGATCCTTTTATATTCTCCTCATAGAACGATGGAAGTCATGAAATCAAGATTAAAAAAACTTTTTAGTAATTGGCTTATAATAGTACATCAAAGTGCTTTGTTTTAGTCTTGTGGTATGTATAGCAACGATTTTAAACTTTTTTTTAATTGTAATGCAGAAATGATTAAAACTTATCTCCCCGAAGAGGTTGTGATTCAGATATTATTGCGGTTGCCAACAGCCTCATTGCTGCGATTTAAGTGCTTGTGTAAATCATGGTATAATCTCATAGAAAGCCCTCAAATTATGGCAATGCAGCTCCGCAATAAGAGCAGCCTTTCTTTACTTGTCAATAGTTTGAGCCCTCGGGATAATGATCAGGTAGAACCAGGAAGCTCAGTATGGTCTCTGCTTACATATGATGATAGAATGCAACTAATTTTAGATGGGGAGAATGTTTCATTTGCGCGCCAGGAATGTGTGGACTTGCCATCTTGTTATGAGAATGTTATGTTTTCAGCATCAAATCATTGTGATGGCATTATTTGTCTTTATGATGGTTACAACAGTGATGGTACCACAATCATGACTAACCCAGGAATTAGGGAATTTATGGTTCTTCCTGAGTCATGCATCCCCCTTCCAACTGCATTATATGAATGTCACGGTGAAACAACGTTTTTTGGATTTGGTTTTGATCAAGTAACTAACGACTATAAGATTGTTAGGATTTTGGAATTTGCAAGTCTTTATGGTAGTCCTGTGGCAAATCCCCAGGCTGAGGTATATACTTTAAGCTCTAATTCTTGGAGACAAATTGAGTTTACAGATTGTTGGATGCGCTCATATGAATCTGAATTATCAACTTACTGGAATGGAGCTTGCTATTGGCCAGCAGAACAATGTCAACCACAAAATGATTGGGTATATGGGGTCTATTCTTTCGACTTTGGTAATGAGGTCTTTCAATTTATAATAATTCCAGAATATGTCTCTCAACCTTTTGGGTTATATGAGTTTAATGGGACTCTTGCTCTAATATCGTTTTCTTACCATTCAATGGAGAATAACTTTGAGATTTGGGTCATGGATGAACTTGGATTCAATGGGATTTGGACAAAGTTAGCATCTGTTGAACCTCTTCCAGGAGTGGAGAAGCCTTTGGGATTTCTAAATAGTGATGAGCTTTTGCTACTATTATCAGCTGGGATGGATTGGGATTCGGGTAGGCAGATTGCATCCTACAACATTGTTACGAAGCAAGTGAAGACTATATACCGTGAAGATTGTTGTGGAGCTATGATTTACAATTGTAGTCTAGTTTCAATCAATAGAAGAAGAATTAATTAATTTCGTGGACTGAAAAAATGGTTTAATTTTTGTTTCCAAGATTGTATTTATTTTTGAAGGTTTACAAACAATTTATTATATTTATACATTTTTCTTATATGCACTATATATATTATTTATAAAAATATATATGTACCATATTTAGTCATTTGTGGTGAAAAGTACAACATTTAAATCAATGATTGTTAAATTCAAAATGATGGTATTTTCCAAATTGGTATTATAATTTTTATAGAGTTGGTACTAATAGTGCACAAAAGAGCAAGCAGCTAGTAGTAGTGGTATAAAGAGATGGCCGCCACCCTAAAGCCAAACCTCTTCTTCTCATTGCAAAATTAAGCTCTTGAAAATCTTAGCTGACCTAAAGAACATGAAAATGGGCAAAGTAATCCATGCCCTCTCGATAATAACCAATAAAGCATCCAAAGACAGTGATCTACGTTCCATAAACTCTCATAAATCTCTATGCAAAATGTGAACAAATATCAAGCGCCTGCCACCTGTTTGATGGTATGCCTAGGAGAAACGTGGTGTCTTGGAGCACGTTTATGACGGGCTATTTACATGTTGGTTTTCCATTGCAAGTCTTGAAGTTGTTCAAAACTATGGTGGTTTTGGTGGATAATCTGCGCCCTTACGAGTATACATTGGCCATTGTTTTCTCTTCTTGTTCCAAGATTGGGAATCCTAAGGAGGAAAGGCAGTGTCATGGGTATGTATTGAAGACTAGGTTGGTGTTTCATCTTTATGTTAAGAATGCACTTATATATATGTATGCCGAGTATTCAGATGTTCACGAAGGTTTTAAGGAAGGGATTAAAGTTTTGAGCAGGATGGTGGGAGAGTGTATAGAGTGGGATAATGTAACCTATGTTACTGTTTTCGTGCTTTGTGCTTGTCTTAAAAATTTGAAATTGGCTTTGCAAGCTCATCGCAGGATGTTAAAGAGTCGTATTGAACGTGATGTTTATATCAATGGCGCAATCATCAGCATGTATGGGAAATGTGGGAATACTTTTTTTGCCAGGAAAGTTTTTAATGGATTGCAAAGTCAACATGTGGTTTTGTGGACAGGAATCATGTCTGCTTACTTCCAAAACAAGCACTTTGAAGAAATAGTGAATTTATTTTTTGCAAATGCATCTTGATGATGTTTCACCTAATCAGTTTACTTTTGTTGTTATGCTAAACTCTACTGCATCATTGTCAGCACTAAGGCATGGAAATGTACTGCACGCATGTGTTGAGAAGCCAGGTTATAATTAAGGACCATGTTATTGTTGGAAATGCTTTGATCAACATGTATTCCAAGTCTGGTGATATTGAAGCGGCAAATCAAGTATTCTCTGGCATGATATTTCACGACACTATTACATGGAATTCAATAATATGTGGGCATTCACATCATGGTCTAGGTGAGGAAGCTTTGGCTGTGTTTCAAGACATGTTAGCTGCAGAAGAACATCCTAACCATGTTACTTTTGTTGGGTTCTCTCTGCTTGTGCCCATCTTGGTCTAGTATAAGATGGATTGTATTACTTGAACCATTTCGTGAGACAGAAAGGAATAGAACCTGGTTTGGAGCACTACACATGTATTGTTGGTTTGCTGAGCAAGGCTGGACAACTTGATGAGGCTGAGAATTTTGTGAGGTCTACCCCAGTCAAATGGGATGTAATTGCATTCCTTACATTGCTCAGTGCTTTCCATGTCCATTGAAATTATGGTTTTGGAGCACGCTTGGCAGAATTTGCGTTTGAGATGGAGCCTAGTGATGTGGGAACATATACACTATTATCTAATATGTTTGCAAAGTCCAAGAGGTGGGATGGAGTAGTGAAGATCTAGAAGTTGATGAGGGAAAGGAACATCAAGAAAGAACCTGGTGTGAGCTGGATAGAGATAGGAAAAATTACCCAAGTTTTTGCTTCAGAGGATAATAAACACCCAGAGGCTACTCAGATTCATAGGAAGGTAAAAGAGCACTTGGCTAAGATTAAGCAATTGGGGCATGTACCCTATCTTAGTGCTGTACTGCGTGATGTGCAGGAGGAGCAGAAGGAAGACCATCTTAGTTATCACAGTGAGAAATTGGCCATAGCATATGGACTAATGAAAACACCCTCAGAGGCACCTATCCTAGTGTTTAAAATTCTTAGAATGTGTGATGATTGCCATTCTGCTGTGAACTATCAAAGCTCACAAAAAGGAAGATAATTGTTTGAGATGCCAATTGCTTCCACCGTTTCCAAAATGGTTGCTGTTCATGTGCAGATTATTGTTGACCATTTGATAAACTACTTGCCCATGTTCTGGAGCAGCGCAGCCTCCAATAAAGCCAAGGGCATCCCATTTGTTTCCCTGAGCTGATGTCACCTAGTCTGGATAACGTGTAACTGTAAGAATTTCAATTACAAGTTCTTCAAACAGCTTGCAGTTTCTTGATTGTGTTATCACCTTTGATTGGAGAAGGCTCATGAGTATGTTTTTATTTTCAGGTTATGATATCCAGTTTTGATCTCTACATTCTATGGAACCGACTTTTGCAGTAAGTCTTCCATCAGCCCTAAAGATAGGAGTCAATTTTGTAAACTCAAGAAACTTGTTCACTTTCTACTATATAGAAGGCCAAGAGAACTGATCCATATTGAGCCACTTCTCTGAGAATGATAACGGATGCTTTCTGATGTTGCAGTGCCATGGAACTGTTGTCAACAGCCATCATCAATCTTTCATTCAACTTTAAGTTGGTTATTTTATTTCTGTCCCTTTTTTTTAAAAAAAAATTTTTAACCTCCTTTTTTGATTAACTATTTTTTAACTCTTATATGGATATTAGAGATTAAATTGCATGGTGATGACCTTTGCATATCCCATATTTGCATACTCTTTACTAGGGACAGTGGTTGTAAAAATATTCCTGACCGAAGGTATACATAGGTTTGGATTTCAAATGGTGGTGTCATCTAGGGAAGGTGATCATGATTATATTATAAAAGTAATTACAAAGAAATTATTGTCTATCAAAAGCTATATAACAAAATAGAAGGTCAAAAATGAATATGTAGAATATATTGTGTTTGAATGTTCCTGTGTGCTATTATTTTGCCAAAGAAAATGAAATGACTCAGCAAAAAGAATTTTCCATGAGTTTAACGAATTCTTGAAAATCTATTCTTCCATCTTCATTTTCATCTGCGATTTTGATCATTTTCTTGCAGTTATCCAGCTCTGATCCTTCTTTGAAGTCCAAAATATAGAGAACTCTCTGCAGCTCTTTTTCATCAATAAACCCATCTCTGTTCACATCGAATACATCAAAAGCTTGCTTCACCTCCTCCGAGCTCGGCTCCTTCTCCTCAAACAGCCCTGAAAACTCTTCGGAACCAAATGTTTTCTGTAGCTCCTTGCCTTCTGGGCTGCAAAAAAGCCCCAATCTTCCCATCACCATCTCCACATCTTCTCTGTTGATGTTCACCTCATCTTTCTTCCGTCCGGATGAAACCTGAGGGCGTGAAAACTCGAGACTCTGGTTCTTCTTCTCATCCCAAACCCTTGAACCATCAAATTCAAGTTGGGATTGTAGAAATGACCAGAACCTTGAGAAAAAACACTGTATGCTACTGACCCATAACAAAAGTTGAATCAGCAAGACATGAAGCAGTGCAAACAGAGGAAAAGATACCAGGTTAGTTTTTTCCAATGGTTTCTCCATTGTTATAAGGCAGTATAATTCGCTAAGAGACATTACTCAATAAGAAGGACTTAATTTTCTTCTATGAATTAGGAAATGAAGAAATACTTGTTAGATGACTACGTAGAGAAGGATGAAGGAGGATGAGAAAACAGTTTACAGATGGGTCTGAGGAAGGAGGGGACTAAGATGTGCTATATATAAAGAGGATCAAAGCGGTCAATCTTTAAAGGCGGGGTTGAGAAATGAGATGGAAGGTGCAATGGAACAGCCTAGTCTATGTTGGAATTTGGAAAGTGGGCGTTTTTTTCTTTTGTCCATGAGGAAATTTCTAACATCCTACATGGTTGGAGAGTTTGTGAAGACTAGGTCAGGTTGGCCTGCCCTCTTTTTGTCTCTATCTTATTTGGATGCGGACGGCCCTTGCTAGGAATCTGCGGCAAAATCTGTTTTTCAGGGGATTGTTGACTTTGTTGGTTATAGTCTGAAGGTTCTGGGAAGTAGGAAGTGGGAAACTGAGAATGATTGAAGGCTGCTGCGATTTTGCTTCACATTTTCCATGGAGTTGTTTTGTGTTTGTTACATGGGTTTTTCCATGTGAAAGAATTATTTTTTTTATCATAAATTTATATTAAAAAATAAAATTAATATTAATTTTAATATTATTATCACATGAATAAATTTAATTAAATAATTTTTAAATTAAATATTAATTTTTAATTTTTAATATAAATTTATAATAAAAATATGTATTATATTTTAAATTGTAATGAGTTGTATAAATAAAAAATTTCTTATTATATTATTTTTCTTACCATTTTTAAAAGGAGCACATCATTCAACTTTAATAATAATTACTTTTTCGGAAAGGCTGGTTAAGGTTATCACCATAATTTGAATTTTTTTTTATATTAGTTGTATAATGAGAGATAATTTTTTTTATTTTTTATTTTATTTTACTTA